CTAGGAAATGGACAAAAGTCAATAAAAATGTATAATTAGGTATATTTTTCCATATATATTAGGGAAAATTTATCCTCAAATTCTCACTTGCCATTGAGACTGGTTCCTCTTTCTTGCAAAGGGCCATTGACAAATTCAAATGATCAAGATCTGTAGTCTTCTTTTTTTCTTTTCTTTTTGTTTTGTTGTTTTATTTATCAGCCAACATCCTACAAAGTACGCTATCAGAGCCCAACTGAACCAACAGGCAACATCCGTATAGATGGGGAAAAGACTGAAATTGTCAATGATTTCATTTTACTTTTGATCCTCAACCAGTACCCATGGTATCAGCAGTCCAGAACTTTAGGAAAATCTGCTATCAAGGACCTCTTAAAACTGTTAGAGAGCAAGAAACTAAGCAAAAGACTAAAGTGCACCTGCCTCAGTCCTGGTATTTCAGTTGCTTCATATACATGTGAAATTAATAAATCAGAGTAATATAAATTTTAAAAAAAACAACTAAATAACAGATGCCTTTGAAATTTAGTGTTAGTGAAAGGTTTTGTACATGCCACACACAGCCAAAAGAACAGACCTGACCTGGAAGAAGTGCACCCAGAATGGTCCTTAGAAGCTAGCTTAGTGAGCTTCTCAAATACTTTGGGCATGTTTTCTGGAGGGGTCAGTTCTGGGGGGGAAAAAAGATATAGTGCTTGGAAAAACTAGAACTGTAGTCAAATGCTTGGAGAAGAGAATCAGTGAAGAAGACTGTCAGGAAGACAGAATGACAAAGTGACTGCAACAACAGACATGGCAGAGATCATCCGGCCATGCAAGCAAGATTCCAATTTATTGTTCATAGGGTCGTCATCATGTGTTGACTCAACAGCACCTAACAAAAACAACATCCTCAAATACTGTTGATGTTTTTAAGAGTAGGCAAATAAAACAAGGAATTACATCTTAGAAATATAGCAAGAATGTTACTTAGAAGCGAGGATTCGAAACTTGGTCCCAGCTACTGGAGGCATATTATCAAGAGGGATCAGCTCTTGGAGAAAGACATGCTTGTAAAGTGGAGGATCATTAAAATAATGGAAGATCCCCAATAAAATAGATTGGCATTGTAGCTTCTCTATGGATTCAAACATTGCAATCTTGTAAGGCTGGTGCAGGATCAGGCAGTGTTTAATTTTGTTGTAAGTGTTGCTATGAGATGTTTACCAACTTGACTGCACCTAAATGATAAAAAACAACCCTCAAATACACGCATTCAGTTATTTTAAAATACTACCTTTTCCTACAAATAGCTATCTTCCTGGAATTATTCAACTTGAAGTACTGTAAAAAACTCACTGATGGAACTAAAGAATAAGAATGATTTTATTTAAAGTATGCTTTGCTACTCAATGTTTTAAAGGGCATACTAGCAGTAATAGATAAGAATCATTAAAACTCTATCTGTGTGAAGAAATGAATGATTGCAAATGCCATCTTGGTCTTAACAGTTATTTAAACCTTTGAATTTAAAAATTGATGCAAGAGGTTAAATACGATGGTTTATAAGTGTTGAACAAGACTTTTAACCATATTTAAAGATGTAAAAGTTAAACAGTCTGAATATGTCTTCATGCTTTATTTTAAAATTATGAGTTCTTTCTGGATTGAACGTAAATTTTGTTTATAAAACTAACATTCCCTCCTCCTTATCATAAAGATTTTCAAAAATGATTTGCCAGGAGTATATCCAGAGACATAGCCAAGTAAATACATATTCAAAAAAAAGTGTTTGTAAGGTGAAAGTTTGGCATATGTTTTATAGGGACATCTGCACACACACAGAGGGGTTTATGTTATGGTTATGACTGAATACATTTTTTCCCCTGTGTGATTCCTTAAAAATATAATTTTCAGAGAATTGTCTCATGATTTTGTGTTAGGAAGGTTTGCTTCCCATCACATATATTTAGAATAGAAACTGAAAGATACAAAAACATTTCAAAACCAGGTTCTTAATGTTTACATTTCCACCAGTTCAACTACTTAAAATGTTTGAGCATCTCTCAAAAGTGAGTAAACATGCCTTTGCAAGGGTATTTTGGGGAATTATAAAGCTATTTCATTTCTGACCACTCTTAATAACTTTGCACTGGCATTTTCCTGTGCTTTTTCAGCTTGTTAGATTTTTATTCTACATGGAATTTAGCAGCAAGTCAATTTTTTTTAAATATAGATAATTACTTTACGTGTAAAACTATTGCCTCTGAAAATCACTGGAGGGTCAACTATGAGTCGCTTCCGACTCTATGGCACAAAACAACAACAACACAATACTGCTCATTTAAGGGGTATGGTTGAGCTGCTGCTTGAAGCTGTCTTTTGTTCAGAAAGACTTATTTTTTTTTCCCTATATAAACGTGTGTATGTTCTTAAAAAAAGTGAGCATCTCATTTGTCAAGAGAAAGTTTATATCCAAGTTCACTCTACCCTGACCTCCATGAGAAGCCATTACTAGATGAAGTAGACTCAATAAATTTTTTAAAATATGTGATTCAGTCCATGTCTTTGACAGTAGATAGAAGAGAACAGCACTCTAACTCCAAAGGTTTTCCAGAATAAATACAGCTTGTATAAGTAACTGAATTGGAAGGAAAAGATAACAAAAATAATATTACAATAATAATATTAACTTAGGAATATATCTCTTTACTCAGTTCTCTTTGTACCCAACCAACTCATAACTGACCCTCCAGCAGGCTTTCAGAGGCTGTAAACCACACAGAAAGGAGATTGTTCATCTTTCTGTGGTAAACTCAAAGCATGTGCCTTTTAGTTGTAAGCACATCTCCTCGCAACTAGGTTACCAGAGCTTCCTGTATGTGTCCGTCATTTCTTTTTAACATATTGAGCAAAAGTAGAGCAAAAATTACATTTGTTTCTTTCCCTCCCTCTTTAGCTCTCTCTTTCTCTCCCTTCTTCCCTCTTCCTTTTTCTCTCAGAAAGGAAACAGAAATACAAACACACATAAACTAGAAAAAGAAACCAAAGAACCCAATTCCAATTCTTTTTAAAACAAATATATTGCATGGCTCTTATGAGAAAAAATATTTTATGGGAGCCTAGGTCAGGATGATTGTCTCTTAGCCTCTAAATCCTAGCAATAAGAGATCCAATGACAAAAACAAGAAGATGCAATGAAATGTCTCCACATCGCCCTTCACTAGCAAACTGCTTCAGTTCTTCAAGAATTGCCACATGGTGGTTCCACTCCACAACCAATGCACACAGAGTTCAGGAGAAAGTCACTACTTGGTCTATTCTTAAAGTCTGACAACTGTAGAGCCACCAGAAAATAGCAACTCCCCAGCACTTGTGAATCCAAATTGCAACTACTTTTCCAGTTATTCTAAAATCGTATGCCATTGGGATCATAGATATTTGAGAAAGATAAAACCTCACTGATTTTACAGTCCAATTCCCTCTTCTTTTCTCTTCCCCCACTTTACTCAAAATCTGTGTGTGTGTATCTCTCTCCTTACACACACACACACACACACACACACACACACACACACACACACCCTAGTAAGACAGAATGGGTAAAAAAAAAACGTATCTAAAGTTAGAATGCATATTGGATCAGACCTGGGATTAGAATCCAAATCTCAGTAACCAGAGCCAGCCAACAGCTATTCTAGACCACTTCAGTCTCATGAATTCTACATAGGCATTAATATTTTATCTGATCTTGCTCTCTACTGATTACTGAAGAAACTCAATGAACCACCTTTCTGTATCCTTTCACAGCCCTGTCAGTTCAAACAGTAGGACTGGAGGTGAATTTCTTAACCTCTCTAGCCCTCTCCTTAACCAAAGTTAGAGGAGCTTGAACTGGATATCTCTGATAAAAAAAAAGAAGACCAACTTTTTAGTTCTAAAAATTCTGCTTCTCATCTCTGGTTTTGTGCTTCATTCTTGCTGCCTGAACTTTTCACTAGGTGGCAGGATTCCACCACCAACATTCTGAAAGGATTTTCGAGGGATGCCTGGGAACAGAACTTTTCAAAGACAAACTTTTCTTTATACTGAACCTTTCTACAAAAAGTAAAAAGTCAAAGAGATGCAGAAATTATAAAGGCTAGTGCCCTATATATTTCATGAAGATCCAAATCCATTTTTCACAGAAGCATTAAGTAGGAAAACAGTTGAGCATGCTCTTTCATATTATTTGACAATTTACCATTAAAAGCAGGTAAAGGTTAGCCAGCTTTAGGCTGTATGAAATTAATGTTGGTTCAGTCTCAGCTGAACATATTCAGGGCCTCTCAAATAATGTTAAACCATGAGACAAACCAACTCAAGGGAACAACCAATCAAGAAACAAAGCAGCAATTAAAGAAAGCACTTAAAATACTTAGTGTAGGCATTACAAAACTACCACCACTAAGTTACAACACATTTTTAATACTTCTGAATTTTATTTTAAGCTCTTAACCAGATGAGTACACACAATGGATTTTGCGTTTATTTGTCAATTCCTTAAAAGGGTATTCTTTTAAATAGATTTTATGACATCTTCATGAGACTTCAAAAAGCATTGCCCAAACTTGGCTTTTTCTTGAATGCTACACAATAAATGCCACTACCAACACTTTTTCTAAGAGTCCCAAAAATAGCTGGGCTGATTGCTTATGCCGAGCCAGAGCCAAGTAAAGTAACATGAAACAATAATTCAACAATAATTCTAATATTGCCTATGCAGATTGTTCCCAGTTGCCTGCCTCCCTGGTTGTCAGAGATTAATGAGGCCTTTCCACCAGTTGATAAATACACCTCTCTTTGTATTTGCAAGTTAATTACATATATGGTGTATCGTACACGCAAAAGTTCCTTAAGCACAAATCTTTTTAAAAAAATCTGAGTTCTAAAGCAGAACTTGAAAATCCCATCAACAGGTTGCTGCTTCTTCCCCGCCCAGCAGTGAGAGAGCAATATAAACCCCATTCCCCAGATCCTACCTTGGCAACATGTAAGGGCTGCTTCTGCTCCTTGCCACCCTGCAGTCGGAACCCCCAGGGTGCCCCTCCGGTCATGGAAATGCAGATAAAATCCCCGGTGCCCATTTTCTCCTTTTAGTTGGGCAGCATGAAGAATTTGAAAAGACAGGAGAAGCGTGGGTGTGGCTGAAGCTGTGCACTTAGCGTGGCGCTGCAGTCCCAGGAGGCAGGTCGGCGTCTCAGAGCGTCCACCGCTCGCCCCGCTGTCCGGACGCAGCGGTGAATGCGCGCTGCAAATGGGCTCATTCACAAGGGCGCAGAGACTCCTCCGCTCGCTCGCTCGCATCCAGGACACAGCCCACTCTTGCGTCACACCGCTTTGCTCAGCCCACCTTCGGGAAGGGAAGGAAAGCAGCTGTACCCCCAACCCCGCGGGGCCCTGAACCCATTTTGGATAAGATTGAAGAGAGGAGAGCAAAATTTGTGTAGCATTGAGAGAGTAAAATCTCAACACTTAAAAGGATGACTGGAAAACTTACATTTAATAATTTCTACTACTAGAGGCCCCGTAAAGCTTTTCATCTCTCTGCTACTGTGACAGCTTAGTATCTGTGAAGACTCAACTCCTAGGAGAAGGAGGGGTTAGGATCTCTCAAGTAAATGTTTTGAAAATTACCACATTGATGAATAAAGTAGACCATAGGAGTTACAGTGAGTTACATTATTGTTTTTCTAGGATTTATTGCAGAAGTAATTTTACAAGAGGAAATTAAACATAAACATCTATATAAGAAAATGAAACTTCCTGTTCTGAAAAAGTGCTTTTCTATTTTCTAAACTATGGTTGGTTTTGTGTCGAAGAAATAGAGAGAGAGATGATAGAGATAGAGATAAAGAACATATGAAAGAGAGAGAGAGAAACACACGAGAAAGAATGAGGCCTGGATGTGACATTTAAATAATTTTCTTTTAAGTGTATAGTTTGAAAACTCAAACTCAATATTGTGGAAAACTGACTAGTAGCTGACCCACCAGTGGGTATTCGGGGAGAGAATTTCCACCTTTCTTCTTTAGAGCCATTGGTGGACTCCAGGCACTCAAAGGGGTGTGGGGACTTTGGGTTAGCGGTGCAGTTCCTTACAGACTCGTCACCAGAGCTGCATGGTTTGAAGTACTTCAAATTTGAAAAAGTGTTTCATTTATTCCTTCCTGCTAATTTTCTTAAACCTGATTCCTATAACTGATTGCGTACGATGTCTTCTATTAATCTAAGCTTTTTTTTTCTTTTTCTTATTTTGTTCTGTTTATGGATGTTTCAATAGAAAAGTGCATATGTGGTTCAAAACAGTTGATATCTTAAATTTTAAAGCAATATATTGTAAACAAACGGATCACTTTTGTTTTACCTATATTTTCTTTTCCACTCACATGGTAGGAGATAACAGTTTTTTTAAACACTCTGCCTGTTTCAATACTGGGGAGTACTGTACGATTATCATCTTCACAATGTCTATCCCTCAGAAGTCAAACATGTTAAGTGGTTTTATTTCTGTCATACTTGAAGTAAGGACAAGGAAATCAGTGACTCTCAACCCATGAAGTCATGAGGACCAGGCATCCCCCCAAGTTTAATTCTCTTTAGAAGGTGAATTGTCTTTACTCTCAAAAAAAAAAAAAAGTTATACATGAAATTCCACAAGAAGAAATCTGAGAAAAGAAAATAAGAGACTTAGCACTCATTCTTTGTATTTTCTTATTTCCTTTTTGTTCCTCAGTCCACAATAGGTAAAGATCTTGATAAAGTAACTTAATATCTCCTTGTTTATGTGTAATACTTACTATTGACTATCAAGTCAATGGAATGCCCTACTTAAAGTATTTTTCCCCTAGACTTACAGGATATAGCATATTCTCTTATCTATGTCTGTAATTTCCTAACCATTCCTTTCTCCTTTGTTAAATTCTCTAACGATCAACAAAATATTGGGGTTCACCAGGAAGACATCCTGTCTATTTGTCTCACTCTGTTGTTGGTATGTGCTGTCAAGTCACTTGTAACTCAAAGCAATCCTATGCACAATAGTTTTAAGCCAGTCTCACTACCTCTGACCCCTCTATCCCCATTACCTCGGTAACTGTGCCAATGCATCTCATCCAATGTCTTCTCTTGTGCTGTCCTTCCATCCTTCCAAGCATGGTGTACTTCTCCAAGGACTTGTCCTTCCTGGCAACAAGACCAAAGTATGTGAAATGGACCTTCAAAATCTTTGCCCTCAAGGAACAACTTGGTTTCACCCTCTACAGGACAAACTTGTTAGTTCTTTTGGCAGTCCATGTTATGTTCAATACTCTTCTCCAGCACCACAAGTCAATGGCATCAATTCTTCTTTTGTCATCCTTAGTCACTGTCCAGCTTTCTGATGCATAGCAAGCAATTGCAAAGACCATGGCCTGGATCAGACACATCTTGGTCTCCAGACTACACCCTTTTTATTAATCCTGTCATCATCAGACTTTGCCTTAATCTGAGATACCTTCCCTTAGTTTCAGGAATATACAACTTTCTACTCAAACCTTTTTCTTTATGACAGAAACCTAAAATTTGTTATATTCAGAACCAATTTGATTGCTCTTACCCCAAATTCCGTCTTTCCTTCTGTGTTCTCAAACTCAGAGTAATTGTTTAACTCATTACCTTTCTGGCATGCCTTGTTTCCTTTAGTCCTAACTTAAATGAAAGCACGATGTTGGAGACTGGAACTGGGGCAACCGTGCTGCAACAAGGAGAGAAAGGCTAAGATCACTGCAGGGTTTTCAGTTCTTACAGAATCGATGTCAACAGCTGTTCACTTGCGGTCATCTTGCTGTGTGTGAGAAGAAAAAAAATTTTATATAAACCACTATAAACCAAAGCAAACCCAGGGCTATTTAATCAATGCCAACTGATAGATGCCCTACAGGACAAACAGAACTGCCTCACTGGATTTCTAAGACTGTAGTCTTCAGGGGAATATATTGCCACATCTCTCCAGTTGTTTCAAACTTCTGACCTTAGGATTAACACTCACTTAACCACTGTCCCACCAGTTATACACTACTGTAAATTACTGGAAATGTAATTTATTGTGATTTACAGAAATTCATTCCTAAGGGCTGCACTCAATAGTTTCTTCATCAAACTAATTCCCCTAGACAAAACCAAGGGTTCACATTTGCTATCATTAATTAAGCACGTGCCAGAATTTTTATCCTCAGAGAATTTCTGCTAGGTAGTTCTTAGTGCCTCTCTTTTATTGGTAATTATCTGAAATTGAGAGAATTTTAAATCATTTTCCTTCTACATCATAGAGCCAATATTTGAAACACTATTTGCCTTAATTTAAAATATCTATTTTTTTATTCATTGTTATCCTCCCTCCAGCACTCTTTTATAACATGCATCTATGTACCCATGAAGATTTATGAGTGCATCTTTATAGTAACCGTTAAATACATTATATATCTAAAAAAGTAGATTATATATCTGCATCTGCCCCTTGGTGCCATTCCCACAACTAATGAGCATTTTTCTGTCTGGTCTGGACAGCAATCTCTTAACTGGACCCCTTGCCCTAACCTCATTTAAAGCCTGTTATCTGTTGGGTTTTTTTCACGCTATAGCCTGGAAGATCCTTCTGAACTGTAATATTGATCTTACATTTCCTGTGCTTAAAGTCCTCAAGAGATCTCAGCATGATGTTCCAAGGCTTTTTCATAGATAATTCTGTCTGCCTCTCATGCTTCACTTCTTCTGCCTCCTTGCTCACTCGTTCTCACCTTGGGTTTTATAATCCAGAAATGCAGGAATACTTTTTGTTTCTCTAACCTGCCATGCTGTTCCATCTGTGGGGGACATTCTTCCAAGCTCTCCAGTCATTACTCATACATGCATCACCTGGTGATGATCATGCAACTCCAGTCATTACTCATACATGCATCATACTCATCCTTTTCACAAATCAGATGTTTCATTTCTCCAGAAAGCTTTTCCCAGTTCCTGCCATGTTGAGGTGTTTCTACAACGTGCTTCCAAAACTCTGTATTTTCCTGTCATTTTAATGGTCTCTCAACTTGCATAAATCCTATACCAGATTATGTTGTTGTTATTGTTATGTGTCATCGAGTTGCTTGCAACTCATAGCGACCTTATGTACAAGAGCCCTAAACACCATTCTACCCTGTGCCAACCTCACTGCCTCAAACACACTCATTCCCACCATTCCACTCACAGAATCGATCCATCTCATTGAGGGTATTCCTCTCCTGCGCTGTCCCTCCACTCTGCCAAACATGATGTCCCTCTCCAAGGACCAGTCCCTCCTTGCAACATGCCCAAAGTATGTCAGACGAAGCTTCAGAATCCTTGCCTCCAAGGAGCAGCCCGGCTTCACCCTCTCCAGGACAAATCTATTTGTTCTCCTAGCAGTCCGTGGTATATTCAACACTCTTCTCCAGCACCACAGCTCAAAGGCATCAATTCTCTTTCTATCGTCCCTATTCACTGTCCGACTGATGCATAATACGTAATTGCAAAGACTATAGGCTGGATGAGGCATACCTTAGTCTCCAGCCTGACGTTGTTGCTCTTCAGTACTCTTGAGAGGTCCCTCACAGCTGACTTTCCCAATGCAATTCATTTCCTGATTTCCTGGTTGCTGCTACAAAGAGCTTTGACTGTGGAACCAAGTAAACTAAAACTGTTAATAATATCAATCTCTTCACCATCCACCCTGATTCTACCAATTGGCCCAGTGGTGAGAATCTTTGTTTTCTTGATGTTGAGCTTCAATCCATATTGAAGGCTACAGTCCTTGACCCTCTGCAGCAAGCACTTCAGATCCTCCTTAGTTTAAGCAAGCAGGTTTGTGTCATCTGCATTAACGCAGGTTGTTGACACCAAATTATAGCTTTGTAAAAATGAAGGACACTTTGTATTTATTTAGGATTGTATCTCCAAGTGTAACATAATTTCCGGCACATACTTTGTTGTTATTGTTGTTGTTGATAGATGCCACTGAGTCAACTACGATTCATAGCGAACCTACAGCAGTGGATCTGAACCTTGCCTTTCCTGGGGCATCCTCATC